TAAAGCTCAGTTATATTTGTAAATCTTACCTCTTTATATACGATTCTCTTTATAAGTTTTTTTTTTGAATTTTTAAAATAGCTCTGGTAAAATATATATCTTCTTAAAGTTCTTGACCGTCATAATCTTCTTAGCCAGTTTTTATTTGCTCAATCCACATATTTGAAAATAATCCTGAAAAAGAAGTAAAATTTGTTACTACTTTTGAAATATCACTTATTTAACAAAATGTTGTTCAAAAAAAAATGAATAAACTATAATTTTATAATATAGAAGGTGTAAAACAATTTTTTTTAAAAAAAAAATATATATTTACTAATGAAAAGATCCAATTTTTGTATAAAAACATTTGTTAATTATAATAATATAATTTTAGAAATTTATAGTAGATCAATTTTATGTGACATGTCGGCCGACTGATATATACATATTAATATTTAAATTAGTATTTAAAGTTGGTTTAAAATACAAAATACTTTTATTTAAAATATTATACACTAATTAATTAGCTAGTTTTTAAAATATAATATATATATAGTATAAAATATTACAAATATTTTAGTAAAAATATAATAAATAAAAAATATTTTAAAAATTTATATAAAAAAATTACAATATAACAATTAAAAAAAAACCATAATAAAAATATATAATAAAAATTTTTAAATAAATATATATTAATTTTATATACTATATTTTGCTACTATATAAATACGCCAAATTTATTATTTTTTGTAAATAATATACTGTACAGTATATACTATATGCCAATTTTATATAGATTTTTATAACAAAGCGCCAATAGATAATTTGATAAATCATCTAAAACATTATATTAAAGCTAAAAAAAAAAAATTAATAACAAACTTATAATAAAATATTTTTTTCAAAACTGTTTTCAATTATATATTATAAAATACACTTATAGTATTTAGCACTATATAAAATTGTTTCTAATAAAATTTAAAATATATTTTAATATGAATAGGGGCTTATTATATAACAATAAAATTTTTCAAAATTTGTCACACATAAAGTTTTCGGGGGTCCTGAAAATTTTTACTTAGAACCCGACCCTAGCGTTTTTGAGAAATAGCACCTATCGCTATGGTGTTTAGCACCATAGGTGCTTTTAGCAAACTTGTTATTTTTTATATAATATATACATTTTTATAAATTCGACATATATAATATGTATAAAGGTTAAATTAAAACAGTCTAACCAAAAATTTTTTATTTGGTTAAAATTTTCAAAGGCGTTCTTTATTTATAGTAAATAATTTGACACACATTGGCGTATTATAATTTGGTACGGTCCTGCACGTTGATATTTACATACAAAATTTTATCTCTAAGCCTCGATTTGAGTAAAGAACCATATGAAAAATATGAAAACCATTAGTATGTTATGTGTAAATTAAATATATTAAATTTTGATTTTTTATATAAATTTGTAATTGTGCAGTTATAATTTTAACAATAGACGAAAATCTGTAGATCAAAGCAGATTAGATCTACGAAATAGAAGTCTAGACGGTTGTCTAGACAGCTGTCTAGACGGCTAAAACAAAAATGATTAATCCATAAGTCTTTATTATTTTTGTGTTTATGTTATTATTTATCGAGCAACTAGGTCAGTTTAGAATTAAATAATAAATAAGAGTATTGTTAGCTCGAATTAAGGAACACAGCAAATTTGAGACACCTTAAGGTAAAATTAAAAGAATAGATTTTTCAAAAAAAGAAAAAAAAAACAAAAAAATTTCTTATTGTTTGTCGTTAATTGTGTATTCTTTTACATAACACTAATTTTGACATCTATGCAGAACACAAAGAAAAAATCCCCCAAAATCCTAAAATCATTAAAAAATGTATGCATGATGTGTAAACAATAACGTGCTTGTTAAGTTTTGCATCATATCACATATATGTATATAATTGCGTACAACGCTGGTCCGTGAAATTTTGAATTGTCTATTTAAAATTTATAAATGAAAAAATTAATGTGATATATAGGGGTGATACTTGAATTAATTGGTCTATTTATTTTGTTATTTGTAAATAGTAAAATCAAATATCAATGTACAAATATGGTCACGACTGTTCTAGACTGGACGAGACCCAGATTTCTGTCTGGATCAATGATGATAACATTTCACAATAGATTATTTTTAAATTGTTTTTTACTTTGAAAAAAAAAAAAACGAACATTCACTCTTCCGGAGAGTTCTCTTCTTAGTTTCTCGCACCATATTTACTATTTTGCTATTTAATTTCAAATAAATTTTTTAATCGACCTCAATTTTGTTTTATAAATTTTCACAATGTCAAATTCAAACTTAATTATGGATCCTGATAAAGAAATCGCTGAAGACGATTCAAGCCGTGCACGTATTGTCGCATTCGCAGTACGAGAAGCTTGCGCTATTGCCTACAAAGGACAATCCCAACAGAATTGGGAGAGTGCTTGTAATGTTATAATGCAAAATAATTTGCTCACTGATGCTGAAAAAGCTACAGTAATCGCTTTACTACAACGTAAAACTATTCCATCTGATAAAACAAGTTGAAGTAAGATTCAGAAATTGTAAACGTTGAATTAATTTATTAGTTTTCGGCTTAATATTGTATTAACAAATATTTTTTTCTTCAGGTCTTGATCTATATCTGTTATATTAAAATATTCGGATTCACAGTTTCGATAACTAATATAAATAATTTTTTTCAATTGAATACAATAATCACGACGATAGCGATAGGATTTTCTATCAATATAACTCTATGAAAAAGATCCAGGAACAATTCATGGGTTCAAAAAACGATACTTAGAAAATTCTTGTTGAAACTATGTAAAAAGTACTCACTGTTATAGTACCCTCTTTTTGTAATTAGCACCTGATTGACTTATTGAATAATAGCTGGGTACTATAGTCAGCGGTGCACGGGTAGTTAGAGTGTTCTTTATCAGTTATAGAATAGAGAACCTCCTCGTGATTGGTTGATCATGTGAAGTTAAATAAGGCTTCGATTGGTCGTATAGGCACACTCGAAGGCAATTATTATAAAACTATTAATTGTCAGTTAATTGACTCTTTAAAGACTATTATTAAATAGCTTTATGTTCATGTATTAAATAAGCGTTCTATAATAACTTAAACAAACCGCTTTTGAATTTTTTTTTTAATAAGTCAACCATATAATGTATATTGCTTATTAGAGTGTTAAAAAAACTATTTTTTAAATTTTTTTTTATAATTTAGTATCTAAAGAGTATAGTAGTAGTTATTAACGAATAGAAAAAAAGAAAGTAAATAGATCGTGTATTATAAATATTAGTAAAAAAAGTTTTTTAATATATATAACATATAAAAAATTATTGTTATTAAGTATAAAAAAAAAAGTTTTTTAATATAGCATATAAAAAATTATTGTTATTAAGTTGGTTTATTCAAAAGAAAAATAAATAATAAAATATTTTTGATTATAATATAATTTTTTAGTATTTTCGTTTATTTTATAGTCTGCCCTGGTCCAGTCTTGGTTCAAAGACTGGTCCAGGCAACAGATTGCGGACCAGACTGAGGTCCATACTGAACCAGTCCTAATTTAGTCTGGTTCAAGACTGGTCTGCTCGAGCCAATAGAAATGCAAATTTAAAGATGTTTCAGACTCTATAAGAAACATATCTGATATAATGAATAAACCAGAACTACCAATCCGGTGTTACGCCGAGAAAATTTTCTTATTATATTATTTTTATCAGTATTATTTACTTATTTGAGTATAATATAGGAATGATTATCGTAGCCTATGACTCCCGGAGAGAGTTAAAAGCTCCCAAAGGAAAAGACTCTCAATGGGAGTTTAAGGATGTAGTTTCAGTCTGCGAAGGGAATAATGATTGTTAGAACGATGATTGATAGTACTGTATTTAGTATTATTGTAATAATCCGATGTATTGGTTTATGTTAATAAAGAGAAGCCCTATAACCTGTAATTATGTGTTAGTTTATCGATTTAAACAATTTTTGACCTTAATCACTATTTGTTCACGATAGAAGCTAAATTGCTATAAAGCTCTCTCCCGGTCGTAACACTGGTTAGCGTTTATCGGATATCCGGATCTGGATATTGATATCCGGATAATTATCTGATATTCGGATATTGATATCCGGATAATTATCTGATATTCGGATATTGATATCCCCGAATAAATCAGATATTAATATGGATAAACGGTTATCCGGAACCGAATCTATCTGTTTTTAAATATAATTAATTATAAGTTTAGGATATTTCATCGATGCATGAATTTTTTTTACAAATATAGGTTTATTAGACTAACTTATTTAGACCATTTCAAAGACTGGCTCAGACTGCGGTCTTTGGCGGTCTCTATACAAGATCAGTAAATAAATATTAAAATTATTATTATTTATATAATTTAAATTATATAAAGAGCTCTTTCTACTCTTTTTTATAATTAATAGTAGCTTAGCTTAAATTAGTTCATAAATAAGGAATCTAGAACAATAGAAAAACTTTTTCTATTCAGATCTGTATTATTTTGTAAAACATAAATTTTTACAGCATTAGAAAAAAATTTTAGTACAAATTTGTTAAAAATAAAAATATACACAGAATTATATTTATTTTTTGTAAAAATAGCTATCAAGTTTAAAGATTTGCACAAATTTGCAATATTTTTTATTTTTTATTTTTATTTTTAATTTTAAGGGTAGAGTGAATGATTTCTATTTTTAGTAGTAATTACTTGACAAATATAGTAAAATTGATTTTCATATGTTTTTACTATTTAATTTGCCTAGATAGTACAATATAAATAACATATGATTATTATCTGATTTCAATTGAATATTATTGTAAAAAATTTAGCAACATAATTACTATTAGAATTGTAAATTCTTTACTCTAACTTTAAAGATAAGGCCTTTAACCTTTTTATTATATTATAGAGAATTGTTATTTTCACTCACTATTTTTGCTAATCCCACCCTTTAAATATTAAAAAGTATACTAAAAGAGGTATTTTTATTAAGTAAATCCTTATTTTGATCTTAATAAAAGTTGTTTATTAGGTCTTTCTAGCTCTAATATTAGTAAAATCATTAAAATTGAATTAGTAGTTTCTAAGATATATATATCTGAAGTTAGTTAACTTTTATTTGTATTTAAAAAAATATATTAGTCTAATTTTAATAATTTTACTACTATTAGAACCAGAAAGGCCTAGTAATCAACTTTTATTAAGATCAAAATAAGAGTTTACTTAATAAAAATACTTTTCTAAAGCACTTTTTTAAATTTTAGAAAGTAAAATTAGCAAAAATAGTAGATAAAAATAGCAATTCTTTTATTATATTAGTTTTTTTTTTTTTTTTTTTTTTTTGGTGTTAAGGTGAGGCCTTGCTCGTATCTTTATTGGATAATTTGTACAAGTAATTACATAGATATATATAACAACTAACTTTGTATAATAACAAAATAATA